GCTTCATCAGATAATAAAGGTTGTTACACCACTACCCTCAAGTGCACACAAACAACAATACNCACCATGGATGACGACAATGACCCCCCATGAACAATGAGCGCCTGTGGAGAGAGATGACCCCCACAAACAGCAACGAGTGCCCACCCCCAATGTGTATGTCTCCCCTCCCTCTCTGTCCCCCCTTCCTGTCTGTCCCACCTGTCTGTCCCCCCTCCCTGTCTGTAGTACTGTACCCCTCTCTGTCTGTACCCTTTCCTCTCTGTCCCCCTCCCTGTCTGTAGCACATTTCCAAATAGCTGTTGTCAGGTTTAGGGTACATATCCAAAAAAGGAAATTTAACTATTTCTAGTAAAAGAATAGCAGAAAATTCACAAAAAATAGAGTTGGTATATGCAGTGTATACAATATGAGGCACTGCCTTCAGGGTCCATGTCAGGGTCATTTATATATACCCACAAAAGGAAATATGATCTTGTAACACCAAAAAGTCAAGAAATTCAAGATAATGAGGATTCTGCTTATCAGGGTTCATTCAATGGGATGTCAGGATGATGGTCACATGACCAATTACCAAAAATGGTCAAAAAACAAAAATTGTAGCCCTGCACTGTAGCTTCCCAAATCTGGTTAAATTAATTATGTTCTACAGTGCTCCTGTTGTGGAGATATGAGGTACAAGATTTTCAAAAGTGTTGTGTTTTTTTGTTTTTGTCCTCGGTTGGCGGGAGGGGGAACAATGTTCCCCGAAGACGCAGCTTCCAACAATGAAGTCTCAGCCGCAGTGGAAGGAGGTGATGGATTGGGTAGGGGAGTGACTTTCTCCATAGTTGTGAGATGGTACAATACTGGTAGAGGGGTGGTGGACATTGTTACATTAGCGCAGGCCTTCTTGGTTTTCAGCAGATCCAAAGTGTCCCCTGTGTCTCTTTTCCCCACTGATTCCTTCTTGACCTGCACCTCCAATTCAATTTTGTCCCCCACCAATTCCTTCTTGACTTGAACCTCCAATTTGATTTTGTCTTGGTCGTTGTCATCACTATTCAGATCAGCATAACTTGCTTTGCCTTTGCCTTTGCGTTGGCAAGATGGCAGTCATCGAGTGGCATTGCCTTGTGCAAATGCTTGATTGGACCAGGCAGTTAATGCTAATGCCTTGTGTTGGAGTTTCTGTCCCTTGAAATATGACTGCATTGAGCAAGCCTTCTTGCTGGTGTTTTCACGGTATCCGTCGCATGTTGACCAGCGTGAGTCGATAGGAGGGGGAACACAGGAGATGCCCTTTTGTTGACAAATGGTACACCGGTGATCGCAGTGTAATTCCTCCTGCTTGATGCACAGAGCACACCATAGTTCGTCTGCAGGACTTGGCTTCACAGAGATGAAAATGATCACTTTGCATTTGTGAGCAGGGGGTACATATGCATCTTCCTCGTCATCTCTCCCTCCCATTCCTGCGTTAACACCCCCCTGCTTCTCTTGCTTGCATTTGTGAAGATCGGAACCCCGTGGTGTGACTGCAGAGTCAATGACGTTGATAGTAGGAATAGGCGCAAGGGGGGAAGGATTGTGAGTAGATGTGGTAGGTAGGCTGGTGGGGAGACGGATGGTAAGTTTCGGGACATCCGTGGAGCTGGTCGTGTTGGAATGTTGATCCAATGTTAACCTTGACGAGCTTGACTGGTCATCCAATGTTAACCTTGACGAGCTTGACTGGTCATCCTTCCTTGCGTGGGAGGGGAGAGGTTGAATAAGACGTTCCTGGTGTGTGTGGATGGTGTCAGCGGAACTAAGGGAGGAGGTGGTAGAAACAGCTTTGGCTCGACTGTCTGAAAGGAGTGTGGATACAGGTCGTGTTTCTGCTGGGTGACCGTTGTTTGTTGAGGAACAGAGGAGCTGTGGACTCTGCATTGTATTGTCAACGTCCTAAAATCTATCAGTTTGACACAAAAATTTTGAAGAGAGGCTTACCAGCGTGAAGGGAACCATATTAGACCCTCCCAAATGTTGAGATTTCAAGGCGGAAGGTCTTGTCATTACCTCCAAACCAGGGTAAAGTTGAGGTGGAAAGAGGATGGGATCATCCCAGTCAATAGAATGTTTTTCAATGTAGTATTGCTGACCCTTGATGCGGAATGCATCAAAGGCGGCAATGATTGTTTCCCTGATTTCTTCATGGGGAATCGATTTGGAATGCAGTAGTTGATGGAGGGATAACTGGAAATTACGAAACAAAAAGGTGGGCTCGAAATCTCCTTGCAATTGAACCATAAACTCACCATTCTTTCTTTCAACTGGTCACTGCATGCTTTCTCATTGTAATCCACCCATCCCGCTTCCTGCCCGGCATGGCAAAACAGTAGAATTTGCTCAACAAGTTTTGTGTGTTTCAAAAATTCAGCGTTGGAGCTGCTACAGGATGGTGCCATGGAACAAGATATGAACGTTGGCGACAAGGTTCGATGAGCATGATGTAGGACAAAAAGACACAGAATGCGATCTTTGGAAAGGTACCGCAAAGGTCATTCGTCACGTGATCATGAACAACCTCCAGTGTTCCTCTGTTCACACCATGCAATGGAGATATAACATATATACTAGATATTATGACTGATCTTACCATGCAAAGCCTTTCGTTGAATGGTGTGTCCATTTTTTTTGGTTTTCAGTATGTTTATTGGTGATGTGACCCTAATATACATTCTTGCAGATGTTCCTTCCTCGCTGGATCCCACTGACATGATCATGCATGAGATCGATCATGATCGTGTAGTGGAAGCCACATATATGGAGTTTAGCTCCCACCTTACCCAATGCCTGGATGGGTTAACGGCATCTGTCAAATGGGATGATCAGGGCCAATCTGCTTTTCTGCCGATTCCTGCCATACCCATGCAAGATAAGCATGCAATGGATCAGATTCTCGAAATCAACAATGTTCACAACGAGGGTAGTAATTTGTCCTCCTCCCTCCCCTCATCCAACTCTTTGAACAATGGTGGAGGGAAACTGTTACCTCCCCGCAACTTCGCTTTTTCATTTGCCCTGCCACCATCGAACTCGAGTGTTGGGCATAGTACTGCTGGCGCTGATGGGTCCGCTTTGCCAATGGATGTCTGCCTCTTGGTCTCTGACACTAAAATGTCAGTCACCAATGAATACACAAATTTATTCCAAGTCCCGCCACCATCTGGGCCGCACAAACAAGTGGTCACGCCGCCTTTGTTTCAACTGCCGTTACCTTCAGGACCAGGCATTGTGCCACCGAACACTGATACTCCTGCTGCTGTCAAGCTCTCAGATACCCAGGGAATCTTTGCATCGTCTTTATTCCAACTTCCTCCGCCTTCAGACAATTCACACATCGTGCCCGATAAGCCACCTGCTGCCAAACTTTCAGATACCCAAGGAGTCGTCACATCATCTTTATTCCAACTTCCCCCACCTTCAGACGATTCACGCATCGTGGCCGATACGCCACCTGCTGCCAAACTCTCAGATACCCAGGGAGTCGTCGCATCATCTTTATTTGAACTTCCGCCACCTTCTGCACCGCAACAGCAACCTTTATTCCACCTTCCCTTGCCTTCCGCACCAAAGTCACAACAAGAGAGCGCAAAACGTTTATTCAACGTTACGACGGGGTCCACACCATCCCATGGAATTGCTCAGCCTGAAATTAGATGGCCACCTGGCCTGAGTCCATCAAGTCCTGTGTTCCTTGAGCTGTTGACAGAACTGTTGTTGAATTTTTCGAGTCCAGCAGGTATGTTCAGAGGGCATGGTAATAGCTTGAGAAGGAACCATGAGGAAACAACTCACAGGATGGTGGAGAATTTGAACAATAGAGTTGTTCTTGCAAATCTGGTGGCTCGTCTTCAATTGATTATAGCACTTTGTCGGAGAGCTGTCTTCCGAGAACATTTTCCAAGCAAGTAGATAACTTTGGTTTCCCTCTTTCCCCTTTCTCCCCTTCTGTAAATTTTGCCCTAGGCTTCGCCCCAAACTTTTTCAAGTGTCTCCCCATTGTGTTTTCCCCATTTTGTTTCCCTAGCTTCCCCCTGCTCCCTCCCTCTCTCCCCTTCTATGAATTTCTCTCCCCTCCTTCCCTATGCTTCCCCACCAGCTTTTTCAAGTTTCCCCCCAATTGGTTCCCCCTGCTCCCCCCCCCCCTCTCTCCCCTTCTGTAAATTTGTTTCCTCTCCTTCCCTAGGCTTTCCCCCAAACTTTTTCAAATCTCTCCCTATGTTGTTTGCCCTGCTGCCCCCTGCTGCCCCCCTTCTCTTCCCTTCTGAAATTTTGTTTCCCCTCATCTCTATGCTTCCCCCCCAACTTTTATAAGTGGCCCCCCAATTTGTTTCCCCAGCTTCCCCCTCTCCCCGTCTCTCTCCCCTTCTGTAGATTTGTCTCCCCTCCTTCCCTATGCTTCCCCCCAAAAAATTTCAAGTCACCCCCCTTTGGTAAATCTGTTTCCCCTCCTCCCCCATTCTTTCCCCCCCTCTTTGCCAAGTTGTACCTGTAGCTCCATTTAGCTAGGTCATGATCTATGAATATCTGTGATAATGGTCCATTACATTGATTGTTCCAGGATGACAAGCTAACCCATTGAGGTAGATATACTTTACAGGCACTAGCTACTCTATGCGAGATGAGGTACTTACACTCTGGAGCTAGCCAGCTGGACTCATCAAGATGGGCAATTCTGACAAAAAGATTTGTCATGGGGTATGTAAAAAGGGTATGTTTACTTGTGGTACTCCTCATAAGGAATAGGGTAAAACTTGGCCACCATGTCTTTGATTGCACTGCTAGAGTAGGCCGCTTCACTTAGTGTGGGTGTGGCACCCCGCCATCCCATTGAGGAAGCAGATCTGTCTTCAACTATTGAATATGAGCTGTTTAAAACAGTCAGACTGGCTTTTTGGAGGTTTTGACTGAGCCTTTCAAGTTTTCAGGCTGGATCACCTGCAGAGCTCTTTACACTCCTCCACCTATTCCTACTGGACTCCTACTGAATGCCCGTATTACTACCAGACTGGACTAGGACTGGGACAATTTTTATGTTGGGTGATCACCATACAAATTTTGTGTCCCAGTCCTAGTGAGTCCCAGTAAATTCCTACTGGGATGGTCCCAAACAACTAGGAATGGGTATACAGTCATTCACCAGTCAATGAGGCACCCAAATAAAGAATGGTGTCAAAAATTTTAAATACAAGGGATTTGGACATTATGAACTGAGAGAAGTGTGCGCATACATCATACCCTATGTAATACCTAGTTATAAACTCAAATTCACGTTGTTGAATAGTATATCACATGTTATCAGTGCTGCCAACGAAGATCAGTGTGAAACCAGTCAATGAGGCAGATGTCACGCTGTCCTAATTTGGGCATTTTGCTTAGTCACTTCAGTTTCCCATCGCTTCGTCAGACGTCTGTGGCAAGTGTGACAGAAGTGACCTTCCCCCTTTTAAGTGTGATTTGGTCCATTCAGTGGTTTTTGGTTCACTGGAGTATCAGCTCAGCTCAAAACTCTTGTAATTGAATATTTATTGAATGCCTTAAGATATTATAAAACAAAAATGGCTCTTTTCCGAAAACTAGGGTCAAGATCACTCAGATAATATTCAGTTTTATGGTGAAGGAGCACTTATCTGCAGATATCAAGAGATCAAAACATGCTACAGCTTAGAAACTTGGGATTACTATAAAGACCATATATGCACACACAACGGAGAAAGAATTAAAGAAATAGCTAGAGAACTGACCCCGGAAAAGTGTTTTGACTCACTGAGTAGTGTGACTCAGTGACCGGTGAATGACTGTAGTGGAGTCCAGTAGGAATTTCTGAGCACAAGGAGTCCAATAGGACCAGTAGTTTGTCACTGTTGTTCTTATTATATAATATATATAAAAAGCACAACTTGGGAGAATTGAACCCTTGACCTTATGGACACAGTGGCATGACCAGTTGCACTACAATGGCTTTCCTATAACTACATATTATATGCTCTACATACCAACCAGCTGACCTCTTCCCAGAAAGGACACCAGCAAATTCCGCAAGTGGGAAATTTGCGCAACTGTCAACCCACAACCTTCCACACTCCATCAACAATGCCTTGACAATGTCAACTTTGATCCACACCCATTACCACACATTGCAAACCATCAATCTATGCTATGTCTTCCAGCACCTACTCCAACAAGCCCTGCAACTGAAGCAGTACTTTTTGATGCCCTACATATTCCTGCAGGAATGGGTCCATTCTGCCAGATTCCACAAGAATGGACCAGAATCCAGAGGAATGGCCTGGATTCCACCAGATTCTGACAGAAGGGACATGTATAAGTGCTTGTAAATACAAATGTGTGTATATAAACTGACTTTTGTAGTCTGTCAGTGTTATTATCCCATTTAGGGTATGCACCTTCCTTTTGGGGTCAAATTTCCCACAATACAATAGTTGTAGCCATTTCTCTTAGCTTTGTAAATGTGTTGAAATCATATTGTTTTCATGGAGAAAATTGTTGGAAGCTGCGTCTTCGGGGAACATTGTTCCCCCTCCCGCCAACCGAGGACAAAAACAAAAAAACACAACACTTTTGAAAATCTTGTACCTCATATCTCCACAACAGGAGCACTGTAGAACATAATTAATTTAACCAGATTTGGGAAGCTACAGTGCAGGGCTACAATTTTTGTTTTTTGACCATTTTTGGTAATTGGTCATGTGACCATCATCCTGACATCCCATTGAATGAACCCTGATAAGCAGAATCCTCATTATCTTGAATTTCTTGACTTTTTGGTGTTACAAGATCATATTTCCTTTTGTGGGTATATATAAATGACCCTGACATGGACCCTGAAGGCAGTGCCTCATATTGTATACACTGCATATACCAACTCTATTTTTTGTGAATTTTCTGCTATTCTTTTACTAGAAATAGTTAAATTTCCTTTTTTGGATATGTACCCTAAACCTGACAACAGCTATTTGGAAATGTGCTACAGACAGGGAGGGGGACAGAGAGGAAAGGGTACAGACAGAGAGGGGTACAGTACTACAGACAGGGAGGGGGGACAGACAGGTGGGACAGACAGGAAGGGGGGACAGAGAGGGAGGGGAGACATACACATTGGGGGTGGGCACTCGTTGCTGTTTGTGGGGGTCATCTCTCTCCACAGGCGCTCATTGTTCATGGGGGGTCATTGTCGTCATCCATGGTGGGTATTGTTGTTTGTGTGCACTTGAGGGTAGTGGTGTAACAACCTTTATTATCTGATGAAGCAGAATTTAGAGGCTATAACTATATAACAAATAGCTGAATACCAATAGATACAGTTGCATGCAATATATAATTTGCTGTTTCTATAATAAAAATACAATATAAAAGGGCAAGTTTAGGACCAAAATTATCTTTATGATAAAATTTGTAGAAAAGTTGAATCCAGAAGATAAAAGTTTGAATGGTTAGAAATTTTTTGAAGTTTTTTTTTTGAAACTAGGACCCCAGATACTCTGTGACACTGGCAGGAAATTTTTTGCCTGTGTGACATGGGTAAAACATTTCTGAGCAGTGTGACATGACTAAAACATTTTTTAGCAGTGTCACATAAAACATTTCTGACCACTTTCAGATGGCTAGGATATTTTTCAATGCAATATATCAACCCAAATATTTCTGGTCACAATATTTCTGGTCAAACATTTTTGCCCAATGCAATACTATATTTTTCTCCAGAGGCAAAAAAATATATGGCTGAAGGACCTATTAGCCTGGATACATTCTTACATTTTACAAGGCTAATGGCTTGGTCAAGGTGGGTGACTGAAGTGGGTGAAGTTGGGTGATTTACTCTAGAGTCTCTTTGTACTCTATTTCATGGTGGGTGAATCCTAGTAGGCTCCAAGTATAATGTCACAATGCATACTGCTGCCAGGTCCAAAGCCTTGGTCCTAAGTTCAGACTTGACACATGTGCACTTTTAGTCTACTGAACTGGATATGTTGAAAGACTCTTTATATCATTACAACTGTACTTAGCGTAGTTACAGAGAAGACTGGTTCAATGGTAAAATCACGAAAATCAGATTTTATACAGTTGAACACATTTCACCTGTATCAGTGCCCACAACCACCACACACGAACGGCGACGAGTGCCCATCACCCTTTTCCCTCCCTCGACCTGTCTTCCCTCCCTTCATCCATCTTCCCTCTCTCCATCCCTCCTCCATCCCTCCATCCCTCTTCCCTCCCTCCCTCTTCCCTTCCTCCTTCCCTCCCTCCCTCCACTACTCACCCCTCCATCCTTCTTCCCTCCCTTTCCATCCACCCCTTTTCCCTCTCTCTTCCCCCTCTCCATCCCTCCCTCCATCCCTCTTCCCTTCCTCCCTCCCTCCCTCTTCCCTCCCTCCCTGCCTCCCTCCTCTCTTCCATATTTAATGTAGCCAAATAGGTTTATGTAGTTATATTAAACAAGCCTAAGACCCGCGCCTATGGCATGGCACTCGCTGGCACTTGGCCGTTCCTTCACTGCGGGTCACAGCTCGCCGGGGGCAAGCCCCGACCCCCTGGTACACATCTTCAATCCCAGTTCCAGTACACATGTTTCATCCCAATCCCCATGTACATTTTTTATTCTAATCTTTATATGTTGGTGTAAATTACTGGTACATCTACATATATGCTAAATTTTGCATCAGTGGCAATTTTTCTGATATCTGTATGTGCAAGTCCACAGTGCAGTGTGTTGGGCCCCAAACCCTGCTTCCACATAGCCAATAACTTGGCTGCTCCTACAACATGGGTCATACGAAAATACACTGACAAAGACCCCCACACAGATGCGAAATTGAATGGTTGGAAGGTAAGATGGGGGCAGGAAACACCAATGCAATGTGTTGTGGTGGAGGAAATTTAACATGTGGCTACCTTGTGTTTCTGCCCTTTGTTTGTTGATAATGAGGGTTGTTTATGTTGCTTACATGATCTATTACATAATTCTTAGTAAGCGTTGTACATTTATATATAGGATACATACCAATCCCTGCCTGTCCCATTCTAAGTGTCATAAGCTATCCTATATTATGACTATGGTAGTATGCTATAGTTTCCATTCCTGTGGTATGGCTATGGTATGGTATGGTAGTTTGGTATGGTATGACTATGGTATGGTATGGTATGGTATGGTATCATTGGTATGAATGGAATCATACCACAAAGGTATGATATTATCATTCCATGTGGTATGAGAAATGTGTACTCCCAGCTTTTAGGTGATGATCCTCCTTTTGCACACACAGGTGGATATTAAAACTATCCACCAGTCTGCAGGATAATTGGAATATATAGACATACAATAGAATTCAAGACTAATATTCCACAACAAGCAGTAAGCAGGGGTTCCAGATGGAGAGGGTTCTAGACTCAGGCTCTTGGCAGAAATAGTCTTCACAGGAATAGGCAGGGCAGGTCCCTCCTCCTCCTCCTCATCATTATCATCATCATCATCATCTTCTTCATCCACCCCATCATTTTCACTGTGTGGCTGATCACCTCCATCAATCTCAACATCAGAATCGGGCACTAAGATAGGTGTGGGTGAGCCTTGTCTTCCTTTCTTCCGCACAGGAGAATCATGTGTTGATGCAGGAGTATGGGATCACTTGTGGGCATTTGCAAGTTGATTAGAAGGTGGTGGAATGGGATCAAGAGCATCATTATCATGGAGACGGATGGCAGCATCTTCAGCAGGTGTGTTGGATGAGGTACTTCCAGCAGCAAAACACTTCTTAGCCCTTTTGTCCACATCTCTTTTGGAAGCCTTTTTGTTAACAACTGCTTGGGCTCTTGCCTCAGCTCTCTTGGCTTCCTTCTTCATTGACTTGTCCTTAAGGTTATCATAGGTCTTTAGAACACCATCACCTCCATACCTTGGAGATGCAACCGCTCAGGCATGACTTCAACATCTGGTCCAGGATATACAATCCCAAGATGGTCTTTAAGTATAACATCCATCAAGAGGTTCGAAAGGGGCATACTCCTCATTTTGTTCATAGAAAAAGGCCTGGTGGACACATTCCTTGGCAAGGGACTAAACAAAGAACAAAGAACAAATCATCAGCAACTCTGAAATATCCAACAGTCTGATGAATAATCAAGATACACACATGAAGAAGGTCCTTAAGTTGCAAGTTGACAGTGCTGCTGAGATAATCCTGTTCATTTTCTGTATGCACAGCCATCCCTTTTACAGCTGCAATGACTTTCTATGTCCCAGCTTGGTAACACTGGTTGATTGCAACAGTTGCGGATGCCATCCCTGCCCCAACAACAGCCCCAATATCTTCTTTGTTGTGGTTCAGGGAATGAACCATCTGACTTTCATTTTGCTGATGTTTTTTTGTGAGAATGCCATGCCAGGGCAAGAAATGAGGGGCCATTTTGTGGATATGACCCAGGACTTCAATAGTATGTCTTCACCAAGGAAGCTCTTGTAGACATTGTCAAGCTCTCTATTGAGCTGAATGGCCCCAACAGCAATGCCAAAATTGTGCTGGTTTGTGGAGCTTTGACTTTGAGAGGCCCAGGAGCTGTAGGAATGCAAAAGGATGTCTATGCAGCTGGAAATTTCCTCAATGTAGTCATTTGTCAAGCCAGCAACCTTATCCAGGTTAAATATGGCAATGGTCAGCTCAAACAAGGTAAGAAACTGGAAAGAGTCCAGTCATCAGTACAAATATATCATTCCCAGATAATATCCCCAAGGAATGTAAACCATCCAGAAGAATAGCTCACCTCAAGAATGGCATTTTCGTTTTCATGGAGACTTGTTCCAATATCTTTGATAAATGTTTCGCAGGCAAGAGGGAGAGGAGATCTGAGCTTGGAAATATATGGATACTCCTTATGGGCTTCGTCAAGGATATATGCTTGTCAAGGCATTAAGAATGGCATGAAATTTCCTTGGTCAGATCAACTTGGTGGACCATTCTTCCACATTTTGAAGAACCTCTGTGCTGTACTTCTGAAATAATTCTGCCCAATTGTCATGTTCTACACCATCAATGATTGTCTTGCTAGGATTTGCAAATGCGAAGAATGGTGTGGCAAGATGGGTCTTGTATGCATTGTCAATGATTGTATGGAACTCAGGTCCCAGGAAACCATAAAGGAATTGAATGTCTGGACTGCTATGTTCTTTGATGTCCAAAATCGATTTGATGTTCCATGCAGCAGGGGGAAAGGCGAGGTATTTATAAGAATCCTTAGCAAAGTCCATGAAGATGGAAAGCCAACACAGAACAGTCAGCCACCATTCAGTTGACTTGTTGAAGTCAATCAGCTTGAGTTTTTCAAACATAGGGATTGTTATCAGATCTGCAAAATATGAAAAGAAGATGTGGGTTTTGACCACATGTCTCAGTTAAGTTTGCATCTTACTGTCTGAACGCTTGAGTTGAGCTTGCAGGAACATAAAACCTGTTTCCACCATCATCCTATGAATGGATTTCAAGATCATGTAAAGAAAGTCTTGTGGTGTGTCAGCAAGGTGGAAATGGATGGAATTCCAGGAGTAATAGGTTTTTATCTCCTCCTTTCTTGGGTCTTGCATAACTTTATCTAATTCTCAATTATTCATGAGTCTGCCAGATAATTGATATTCTCTTACCTGTATCAATCAGAATGGTGGCCCACTGACCGATATTCCAGAGTTCCACTTCCAATTGTGTAACCTTTGCTCTTGCTGCAATAATGTTAGAGGTATCATAATCACTAGCAACCTCAAATCGTTTTAGAGCCTTTTGATACTCTGTCAACTGTTGAAGCTTTGCAGCATGCAGTTTCTTGTTTGGATCACTGCAGTGGTAATCAACAATTGGCCATTTGGGTTGTCTGTGAAAACAAGGGGTGGAAAATCATTTGACTAATATTTCACATATTGGACCCCTTGCATAAGCCTTCCTGAAACACTCATTGTAAGGGCATGTTCTTGGCACTGGCTGTAAATTAGCCACCCCCCTCCAGTGGCATCTAACAGTTGTTGGACTGCCTTGGGATTCAGACACAGATTCCACTACCTCTTAAGGTACTTTGGCCCATTGTTGGTGATCTTGCCATACCTGTTCTCCTTGTTAGAATTTCAAAGGACATAGATGCTTCCCTGTCCAATGATAAATGTTTCATAGAATTAAATGTCCTCAGCCTCTTTGATTCCATCCTGTTTATTCTGATAGACTCTGCTAACACAACCTCAGTGTCTTCATTGATTGCAGCCAACTGAAATCTGTGAGATGTTCCTCTGAAGGGGAATATAATAACTAGCCTACCTTAACAGTTACACTTTGGCAGCCTGTTCATGACATTATGTGGAAAGATTTAATTGACTGTTGTGTTTGAATATCTTTGTTCCTTTAGACTTGGCCAGCTTTGTTTTGTTGCTCTGATATAGAAGTTAATATTGGTTTGTATGAAAGTATATCTGATTATCTGGCAGACTGGTGGATAATTGTTATATCTCTATCCAATTAGATATCCTGAAGACTGAATGCTACACCAATTATCCACTGCCCTGCTGGATAATTATGTGTGACATATAACACGTGATGTGTGACTTACTGAGGACATTTGGGGATAGCTGTCCCGATTTGTTGCTAAATCAGGAAAGTAGTGGTTGAGGTGAAAGAGTGAAAGAGACCAAACAGATGTTTATATGTCTATAATATAGCCAAACAGGTTCAAATGTCACCTGATGACTTTTTCCTTTCTTGAGCTTTATATCTTTCTATGTTTTAAAATATTGAGTAATCTGCTGGATATTTAGGGAGCTTGCTCCCTTTTATACTGCTAACTGACTCCAAAATATAGATGATGACCTGCATCATCCAAGGCCTTTGACAGTTCAAACCCCTCAATGCTTCTGGGGTTGGGAATAAACCAAACATGGAAATGGTCATGCTCTACAAGCACCTTGACAGCAAAATCAAGCAAGATGCATAGGCTTATCATGCTGCCTGGCATGCTTTAGGAGTCCTTGACCCAAACAGCTCATGGTCTACTTGGCTGCATAAACTTAAGGACAAGGATATCTGTGGACCAAGAAAAGAGGTGAATGAGGTGTCAAACAGCTGGTATGAGCCTCCCTGGATATGGCTTGTGCCATGCATGACCGGATCCAACCAGACAGACCAGGAAGTTAAGTTCACTGACAGTTTGCATGTTGAATGGGCAAAGGGAAGGGCACATATGATGAGGTGGAAAGAAGAGTTTTTATTGGTTCAGGAAGAAATGAGGCATGTTATTGAATATCTCAACTGGAGGGCAGCATGGTGGTATGAATGGAGTTCCTTAAGAACTCATGCTGATGCTACAGTATCGAGTGGGATCTCTGGTTACACTAATAAGCAAGCAGCTATATGTAGTTGGATTGCTGAGCAGTGTGCCCAATACTGGCTTCCACGTCTGGGAAGCAAAGGTATCACTCCATCATGGGCTTCTCATTTTCTGACTGTATTGAACCTTCCTCTGGTTGTTCCACCAAGTTCAAATGTAGATAATGAGGCTGAGGTAGACCTTGAAGTTGCTGAGGAGGATGAGATGTATCTGGATGATGATGGAGATGAGGACTTTGACTCAGATGACTAGGCTTGTTTTGTGGATGTCTGGTATCATTGGTGAAAGTCCACTCAAACCACTCAAAAGCAAGAAATGGTTGGACTGGCTGGAATTTTGTGTCCATCAGACTTCTGCTGGACTTCCTCTGGATTTCCAATGGAAACAGAGGCAGGAGTAGAAAACTTACTAACTTGTTAGTCTGCTGGACTTCTGCTGGACTTCCAACAGACTTCTCAGGAAAAAAAGGTACAGGATGTCAGGGTACCATTCATTTTTCCATTTATTTCAACAATTTCTGGACTTTCCTAGAATTATCAAGGACCTTATAGAACATTATAGATTAGTATAGAATATTCCTCTGTGCACCTTGTAGCAACTTGTGGAACATTCTAGAAATATTCAAGAATAGTATATAAACCCCATGTACAGTAGTTTATCTCTAGCTTCAATCTCTTAGGATTCCCACTAAAGTCATTGGACCCCAGCTCAGCTCTCTCTATCTCCTCTTTCTCTCATCTTTGATCATTCTCTAGTGGCCTTGTCAGTATTTGATAGTGTTGCCCTAACACAGGAGAGTGCTGACTGTCCACTTTGCAATTTTTATTTACAAAGAGAGTTTATATACATCACAAAAATCACTTTTGTTTTGGGAAAAAACTCATGTGTTAGCCTTTTCTCAGGCTGACACACTTCACTGATGAGCCCAGTGAAATAGATAATAATCAATGTAAACTAAGCATAATTTAATATACAAGTTACACCTTACTAAATATAATTGTCTTCAGACAATTACTGCACCTTGTGGTGTTGTTATTGCTTGGGTTAAATTTCCCAAGTCAGAATCCCCCACAAATATTCTTACCCTACAGCTGAATCATGTCCAGATTACATCTGTATTGATAAATAAGGCTTGTCTATTATTATGAACAGCAATAAGCAATGGAAGCTGGGACAGAATTTGGAAACATACAACTTTGTTTATTGTTGATAGTTACCACTATATTAATCACTGTGTTGGTGATTATATTTGTCGAGAATGGTGTAATCCTGCACCATTGAATGGATCAGCTACAAATCTTGTTGTTGTTGAAAAAGACAAACATAGTCGATCATACTACAAGCAAGCATTCAACACACAAGTAAGTTTGAGTTAAAGTGTGATAAAATACAAGAATTAATGAATTTTAAAACAGGCCTGTGAACAGTTAAATGCCTGGCTAGGTGGATTTGAGTCTATTCTGAAGAGGATGACACAAGGCAATTTTGACTGGTTCTTGCACTTCATGTTGTCTTACCACAGCCAATATGTGATGGAAAGAAAAGTTAGTAGTGTCCGCTTTTTGACACTACAATTATGAAAAAGCACACACTTTGTAGTCAAAAAAAGTGGGAACTACAAACTTTCCAAATGGAAAAGTGCACACCAAACTTTTGTAGTCCCAAAAGGCAGACACTACAAACCCTTCTAAGGAAAAAATGAACACTACAAAATTTTGTAATGATGAAAAGTGGACACTACAAACTTTGTAGTCTTGATACACTTTTAACCCTAACCCTAACTTTGTAGTCTAAGTCCAAGCTTTTGTAGTCTAAGTCCAACATTTGTAGTCCTTTGTAGTTTATCAGTAAATTTGTAGTCTAAGTCTGACATTTGTAGTCTTTTGTAGTCTATCAGTAAACTTTGTAGTCTATGTCTGACTTTTGTAGTCTTCTGTAGTGTATCAGTAAACTTTGTAGTCTATGATAGACTCTTATAGTCTGTTAGTGTCAATTTCTTTTCTAGGGTATGCACCTTCCTTTTTTGGCCATTTTTCCCTTGATACAATAATTGTAGCCCTTTCTCTTAGCTTTCTAAATATACTGAAATCATGTTGTTTGGTTTTGTTTTCATGGAGAAAAACACAAAAAACAAAAAAAAACACAACACTTTTGAAATTCCTTTACCTCATATCTCCATAACAGGAGCACTTCAGAATATAATTCAAACAGATTCGGGAAGCTACAATGTAGGGCTACAACTTTCATTTTCACCATTTTTGGTAATTGGTCATGTGACCATCATCCCATTACATGGACCCTGATAGATAAATGGTTTTCTTCACTTTTGGTCAAACCAGGTGATGTTTACCATGACCTTGCTAACTGCTGCTTGATAGTAATTGAACGCCTTGTCCTTCTGGTGACGCTTTTTCGCATTTGGCTTCTTCTTTGCTTGGTTGGAAGCTTCATTCTCGTCATCTCCATCAGTCCCATCTTCATTCACTTTGGCGGACTCCGCCCTTTGCACCTCAGCAAATTTCCAGTCACGAACTCGCAGGACATCTGGTTCACGCTCAATTCCAACAACCCTCCGCAATGTCCATGGTTCCAGAAAGCCCTTCTCCTTGGTCTTCCTTTGGGCATAGTGTTGAAGCCAGGCTAAAATAGCCTACAATAAACGGTGAGAATCAGATTGTCATGGCAACCTGTACTCCACACCATAAGAACAGCATCCTTCTTTGAACTGATTTCCTTGTCTTCATTATCCAAGGCCTTCATGCACTTGAAAATTTCATTAACTTTTTTTTGATGGAGCTTCTTCTTGGTGTCGCAGTAAGAATCTTTCTCCTCATGAAGAATCAGGAGCTGTTCTTCTGTGAAGGTGAACTGGACTTCCTCATCCTGACTCTCATCCGACGACATAGGCAGGAGTGTGTTGCGCTAGACTTAAAAAGGGGGAAAGGTGTTTGGGTCAGGATTAAATAATACACCAATTTCAAAAGGGGGGGGGGAGGGACTTCGTGTCAGGAGTAAATGATACGGCAATTGCCAGTAAGTTGATGAAGGCCCAATAAGGCATCTAAGTAGCCTAATTAAGTAATCTCAATCACAGTGTAACCCAATGTGTACCTGAACAATGTCAAGCAAAAAATTACCCACCACTGGCTGTACAGCAATTATTGAAGTTACTCCAAGGAAAAAGCCTAGAGGAAAAAATGCATATATCACAAAAACTGCCAGACATTCCACCCTCAAAAAACATATCAGTTCAGCGAAAAAGTTCAAGTTGCATCACTACAAGGAAGATGATTGTGACGTGGGCCACCTTCATAAATTCGAGGAGCCTGATGATGCCAACATCACCTTCCATCCAACTGATTTTATCACTCAAATGCCCATCCACAAGGTATGCCATCTAGAGTCACAAACCGCACTCTACTAACCCAAATCACAGACACCTAATTCTTATATGAAAGAGTGGCTTCCACAACGGAATGAATACATTGCAGAGACCATTGGGTGAGAGGCACCTCTGCCTACCCAGGCATGTCAGCTCTGTCATGAGCCAAACTCTCTTTGGCGGTGCCTAAACTGTTTCAGAGAACCTTCTTTTTGCACATCTTGTTGTTGTGATCATCATGTGTTGCAACCATTTCATTGTGTCAAGGCCTGGAATGGAAGGCATTACATGGATTCATGGCTATGGCATGTGGGCATTGAAGTCCATGTTGGGCATCGGGGTCATAAGTGTCCAACTCGTACCCACCAGCTCAATAACACTTCAAACACCCCAGCTGCCAGTGGGCTTGATGATCCTTTTTTGGAGGATCCATTCAGAGGCTTGGATGATCCTTTTGCCATGCCTCAAGTGTACTGGAGTGACAATCTCCAATCTGATCGCCCTACTGGTACATACCACCATGGGGGCAAGGTTGTCATAATAGTTCACACCAATGGGGTCCACCACCTACCAGTACACTTTTGTGAATGCAAAGGACATCCGACAGAAGAGATCCAACTTCTCCAGACAGGTCTCTTTCCATAGAAATACAAAGACGTCTGGACTGTATTCACCATGGAGCTGCTTGATGATTATCTCCTCCAGAACCTAGAGTGCAAGACCTCTACCACTCACTACTATTCCAAGTTGCGGTGTATAACCAACAAAGCATTTCCAGGAACTGTTCCGATAACCATTATTGACCCCCTGCCTATTGCTTATGTTGATTGTGGCTATTAGGATCGATATAGGGAATTAACCAGGGCAGGGCACCAATACTGGAACATGCAAGAGCAGATGGAATTTGGATTTGGTCACACTGGGCTAGAGCCAGGCAAGGGCCAGATGGCTTACTTCTGTTCCACATGTCCTCAACTGGGGATCAACATCCTGAGTAACTGGAAGGAAGACCCTATACAGTGAATAAAATGTTAAAAAGGATAACCGTCAATCTCAATAAGCACAATGTTCAGATGGAAGTACGGCCAAAGCTTCGCTGCCGATAGTAACTTTAAATGTGTTCATCAACAACAGACATCCCGAGAGGAGGAGGTTTGGCTCAAGAACGGTGAAGGCATCTTTACCAAGCACACTCATTATGGCGCCCATATTGCTCATACTAAGGAGAAGGTCGAGGTAAGGAATTCCATGACAGTATGTCTGGCTCATTCAAATAACAGACAACTAGCCCAGTACTTGCCATGAGCATAGTGCGGTGAAGGATCGAAGCAAGTGCCATAAAGGCTGTGATTGCACCAGCATCAGAGCTATTGCCTGTCTCCGCCACAGGTGTTACGCACCAGGGGCCATGGTTAACTTCCAAAAGGGAGAGAGGCAGATGAACATTGACTATGCGCTCTGTGAGGCATTGGCCAATACACACACTCAAGATGCCCCTCACTGCATTTTCGTCTATGATATCAATTGCCAATACATCATCAATCTTCAGGCAAGAGTTGCAGCTGGGGAGTTCCTGAAAATCAACAACAACCTTTTCTTCATCCCAGGAATAGGTTTATTTCATGTGCATGGCCATCAGGTCATTTGCTACCCCTGTTTTGCCCCAACCTTCATTGACGGTGCTGGGCAAGCGGATGGAGAAATTTTGGAAACACTGTGGACAGTCCTAAATGAAGTGGCGCGATCCACTCAAACTATGATGCTGGCACACAGAGCTGAGGTTCTCGATGCTCATGCAGCAGACAGCAACTGGAAGAAAATGATAAACATGGGTATTTCCTTCGATTTTCTCATTTTATCAGTTGTAACTGACTACACTTTAACTTAGTTCCTGTGTTGTGCAAGAAATGGAAAAAGATCTGTAACAGCAAACGTGAAAGCATTGAAGACTTTCAAATGTTAAGCAAAACTGTGTCGGCTGAACAGATCTTGAAATGGACTGCACAAGCGGAGGAAGCGGCGTGTTGCCGAAAGATGTGTTTTAAAGACTTGACTATGAAGAACATACAGGCCATGGATATATACCAGGTGCAAATTGCCAGAGGTCAGTGACTTGGACAATATCCTGGCTGAATTTGACTCACTATTATGACAGCTATTCCCAGGAAGCAAGTTCAACTGGAATTAATGCAAGAGGAGCAGAGGAACAATGACTCCGTGGGGGTGACTTCATGGATCAGCTTGGTCAGGAATTTCAGTAAGTGTTTGCTCTCACACCACAGATCACTAAGAAGAACAATTTTTTGGCCATGAAGGTCAACAGTCGTCGTGTTCATATGAAAGCAAGGGAAAGCTCCCAACCCTGATCAATCTTTAGAAATTGCCACATGGCGGGAACGACTGCTTTGCCCAATGGCAGATTTTCACAAAACTGCCGGAAAGCTGTTTGTATCGTTAAATGTGGAGGACTTTGTTTGCAAAGCACCCCCAATGTCAGATGGGTACGTCACTGATGGAGAAGAGCCAGACCCAAACTTTCATCCCCTCCTGGAGACCAGGGCGCCAGAGCGGACGGACATATTTCTCCCTTCTACAATCTCTGGACTTACACAAGAGTTGCCACATTGCCTAAAGAGTGCACGGCGGAAAGAAATTCAATTGCATATAGCCCAAGCAGAAGAAGCACTGGAAGGCATCTGTCACGAGATTGGACACCAGTCCTACCTTTATCGAAAAGATATACGACTGGCAGAAAGCACTGCACAGAAGACTCGTGGATACGACGCTGTCCATGCAGCAGACAGAAGTTTGAAGCAGCACCTTCGGGTATATGAACAGGCCAGGTGGGCTCTCCAAAAACTTGGAGCCGTGCAGTCCATCATCCAGCGATTCCAAGTAATATTGCCAGAGCATACAGTGGCCCTCACGGCCATCTACAAACCTAATGACTCTGGCCATCATGATGAATCTCTGCCATGGTTTCGGAAAATCAATGTTGCTGGAGATTCATCCTCCTCTGAGTACATGGAAGAATGTAAGTTTCACCCAAGTTTTCTGCTTCGTTGACTGAGGGCACGCACAGTGTATCATGTAAATTGGCTGCACACTAAGGCCAAGCATGACCGGTGGCAAGAGGAATATGTCCTCATACGTGCAGAGATGGAGTGGACACAGCTCTTTTTTCAGAACCAGGGAGATGAGTGGGCTCGATGGCAGGATCTGAAAGATACAAGCCCAGGTCATACAGCCTATGCAGAGGAGCAGATTTCCATGTGGATGAAGCTGAAGAGTCAGGCAAAATCATCATTTGAGAAGGTTTTATTGTAATTCAGCTTGATGTCTACACTATATGCAGCTTCAGTCTTTTCAAGTTCAAAGCACACATACCAAGCAACGTGAGAGAGGGATGTGGCATCCAAGTATGCTCAAGGCGGACTCCAAGAACTCGCCGCAGTCTGCTTAGGCGCGCAACAGTGTCTGAGTGCACACTGTCGAGGCGGACTCCAAGTACTCACCACAGTCTGCTTAGGTGCGAGGTGGTGTCCGAGTACACGCTGCAGAGGAAAGATGGGCAACTTTCGGCGGGGAGGGTTCTTGAACTCCGGTGTTCTTCCTCTTGTATTCACCGTCCGAAATTATTTTGACTTATTCGCAGAGATATCTGTTGATTCCCCACCTTTGTAATACTCACAAGTGACTGGACTAACGTAGGGGGAAGTCTTGAGTTCTGCATGGAGAAAGCGTGAATTCCCCCTGGCTTTCTATTACTATGCAGGTTCGATTCCTGGTCTTTTCTGTCAGCGACTTTTTTTATTTACACAAGGAGATGCCTGTCAATTCTGTACCTTTGTATATATTACTCACAGGAAGTCATAGTAGTAAGTGAACTAACGTCCGGGGAAGCGTTGAGTTCTGCATGGGGAAAGCGTGAATTCCCCGTGGCTTCGTATTACTCACAGTGCTTAACCAGTTGCACCACAATGGCTTTATTAGATGTATGTAATATATGCTGCACATACCAACCAGCTGATCTCTTTCCTTGAAAGGATGTCAGCAAATTCTGCAAGTGAGAATTTCATGCCAACAGTAATCAACAATCAAAAACCTTTCTCTTCACACCACCATCCAACACACCCAGTGCTGCCTCATCACCACCACCACCACCACCAGTCACTGCGACCACCCACAACCACCCATAGCTATGCCACATCACCACAATCACCTGTGGCCCACCACCACCCACAACACTCATCAACCTGCAGCCACAACCACCAGAATGCATCAAGAACGACGTGAGAATGCCACATCACCAACAAATGAGCCCCTGGTGAGGCCAAGGTGATGAAAATGGACAATGAGGGATGACCATGTTGCCCCCATGGCCACATTAACAGATGACTACACCCACACACGTCACTGGACATGGATGGTACTGTTGATGATGAGAGGGTGTGACATTGCTATTAGTGACGTGGCAACCAAATGATGAGCAATGACAATGTCATTGTTTGTCATTATACAA